ATTTTGGTGGATGCGCCGGGTTCGTTTTTAACAATTTTTTATTTTTCATATTTTTATCTTTAAGCGGTCAAAAATTGGCTTTTTTGTTGTTACATTTAACAAATAACTAAAGTATGTCCGATTCCATTTAAAACAAAATGCATTGAACTGGATTGAACAACACATTACTCTGAATACGCCGAACAACGAAAACCTGAAAAGTTCGACACTTTAGAATGAATATTTAACGTTAAAGAGGAAATTAAATATTAACCACAATATTCAACTCGCAAACTATACTAACCTACTTGCTTTTTTTTAAGAAAAAAGATATTTTGGATACAAAATTTGAAATTGCAAGATAGTCGTTCAACGTTAAAAAGTAAAAGTAAATCTAATTTTTTTCTTTGTGATCCGCTCGAAAATAAAATACTATATATCATTTAGCGTAGATGATGTTTTCGTACTTATTTCAGTTTCTGGCTTTGATGAGCTTTCAATCTCTGGGCTTAGCACAAAAAGACTCACTTCTACTATTAATAATATAATCTACTATTGTCATATTATTATTTTTGTACTAAGTCTGCGAGACGACTATTTCTTAAAACAAGATAATGTTTTTAATTTTTCTTTTCGAAACTGAAAATCAAGACAAAAAGACATTCGAAGATTAAAAACAGTTTCACATACGCTATATATACAAAGTTTTTTTCTACAATATTTAATTTAATTATTTAAATTATTTAAAATGCTTTGGTGTAAATTCTAGTTTAAAATTTGGTACGTGCGTGAAATGCCGTCAATGTGTAAAATTCAACTTCACCCAATCGTGATTGTAGAAAAAATATTTTTTAAACCAGGCAACTATTATGACATCTCCATTACCGACTTAGATGTCTTTTTATAAATTTTTATCATAGACTTTATCAAAATGACACGATGCGATAACTGAAATACTGATTTGATTACTTTTTAATTGATATAAGTTTAATTGTTATTTAAATAATTTTATTCAAATATAAATTTTTTGACAACAAAAAGTGAAAATAAGTGTTGCAATCGCCGAGAATTACTTAGAACTTTTTAATGATTATTGACACCGCCACCAACTTTTAAAAATAATAGCCCATGCGTTTAGTTATGAAACTAAATAATATGTAGACTAAGAATAAAAAAACTTAGCAATTCCTCTTCCTTTTTTCAATATTACTAACTTAATTTTAGTCGCAATCAGTTTAAACACATTATATAAAAGTAATTCATCCATGAACATTTCATGAACAGTTAAATTGGACTGAAATGACTAAATTTTTAGAAAATTTTTGGACTATAACTAGTAAAAAATTGTCACAAAATTATTTGAAAAACTAACAAAAAAAAATTTATAAAGGCGGATCTCAAAAAAAAAACTTTTCATTAATAAAAAATCCTTCTAAGTTTTCTAATTAAATAAATTTGTTGTTATGATTTTTGTTGACTTATTCACGTTAAAAAAATTCTGGTGTATTTTTGTCTTTTTCAATGTTTTGTAATCTCGGGTGTTACATTTTGGTGGATGCGCCGGGTTAGAGCTGCCTCAGCTCTCAGTTCTACAGTGCGAACTCATTGTTGTTATTTATCGATTCATTGTGAAGCTTAAATTGAAATTTCCGATCAATTAAAGCGTAATCTCCCATCGTGAGGAGGCCTGGAATAGCTGGTTCGATTAGCGTATCGTTTGTTTATTTAAACCGACAACAGGATCTTAAGCGAGTTGACTAATTAATTGCCTGGGGTACTGTATCAAGCAAATAAATAAGAAAAAATTGCGCTCCTAATTAGCGCCGCGACGACGTAATGAACGACCCGTGGCTGGGCGTCTTTCGCCATCACCTGTCCTCTGGAGTTAAACAAGGACGAGAGAATGTTCAGTGAGACGAAATTATGACTGTTAAAAGCGTTTCATAACGGGGAGAGCGATTAACGCAAGCTTAAATAATGTCATATTATGCATGAATACACAATTATGAGACGTTTAGATGACATTAGTGAACTGTACCGTTTTATATGGATTAAAACAGAGCCATGATGCTCGGCACATCGTTTAAGAAATTATGAGCGCTCCCGTGTTTAATTATAATTTAATTAAATGTGCTAATATTTGCACGGGACCTTTGAATTTTATTAAAACATTCTTCAAAGTGAGCAAAAATTCACGAGACGAAACTCTTTATTTTGGCACATATTACATCCACAACTTGTATTTTACGACTCAAGAGGGTTGTAAAATCGGGAGGGTTGACGGTGCGATGAGCTCGACTTCTTCAAAAATATACAACATTCATACGTTTGCAATAAATTTACCGACCGACAATTACGTTTTGCTCCCTTTTTATTCATATAACATTTTTAATTAAAACGTCTATTTACTTGTGTCAAATCAAGCTGTCCCAGCCTTGCCATTCGCAATGATGTGTTTATTCGAAAACGGAATAGCTTGTAATGATTGATTCAAAACGTTTTTAATTTTCTTGGAGCAAATTAATTTTTCTATTGTTACACACACACTTGGAAAATCTATATTTTTCAAAAATTGAGTTTTAATTCAGTCTATTTCTTCAATAAATACAAAGTGATACATCAATCAAACCGGTTCAAAACTTGTTTAAATGATGACTAGTTTTATTACTCTTTCTGTTGTTACACACACACTTGGAAAATCTATTTTTTCAAAAATTGAATTTTAATTCAGTCTATTTCTTCAGTAAATACAAAGTGATACATTAATCAAACCGCTTCAAAACTTGTTTAAATGATGACTAGTTTATAACCAGTTTTCAAAAACTGATTTTTTACTCTTGGAAAAATCTATATCTTTCAAAAATTACGTTCTAATGCAGTCTATTTCTTCAGTAAATACAATGTAATACATTAATCAAACAGGTACAAAACTTGTTCGAATGATTACTAGTCTACAACCAGTTTTCAGAAACTGATTTTTTACACTTGGAAAAATCTATATCTTTAAAAACTTGAGTTTTAATGCAGTCTATTTCCTCTAAAAATACAAAGTGATCATTAATCAAACCGGTTCAAAACTTTTTTAAATGATTACTAGTTTACAACCTGTTTTCAGAAACTGGTTTTTTAAACTTGGAAAAATCTATATTTTCTAAAAATTGAGTTCTAATGCAGTCTATTTCTTCAATAAATACAAAGTGACACATTAATCAAACTGGTTCAAAACTTGTTTGAATTATTACTAGTTTACAACCTGTTTTCAGAAACTGGTTTTTTACACTTGGAAAAATCTATATTTTCCAAAAATTAAGTTCTGATGCAGTCTAGTTCTTCAATAAATACAAAGTAATACATTAATCAAACCGGTCCAAAACTTGTTTGAATGATTACTAATTTATAACC